GCCTAGTCATGTCATCACATATCAGCTGTTTGCTTTGGTGAGGATGTGATTTAAGAACACTTAAAAGGTAGTAGTGATGACAGCTGCTCTAATGAACTGATGATGTCTATCAACTCAAGCAGGCTTTGTCAGTTCAGCCTAAGGAGATGCAAAGCAGTTATGAGGCTTAACCAAGCTGCTAAATGTGTACACTTTGTTTAACAGTGTGAGTTGGAATGAAAAGCAACTAAGAGGTACATCAGGTTAGTTTAAAGATAACGTTACAGTGGGGAGTAGTATCGCCTGTCAATGAGCCCAAGACACACTGTCGTGTATATTGTGCAAAAGTCTAGTTGTCATTTTGCATGAACCCTGGATTTCCATAGAGATGCTTAATGGCAAGTTTAACTGTTTTTTGTATTGATGAATGTGCATGTGTGTGTGTGTGTGTGTGCGCGCAAGTGTTTGTGGATAATCTCTCTCTCTCTCTCTCTCTCTCTTTATTGTTTTCTCCACACCCCTCTTCATGACCTTTTTATTTGACCTATGACCTTTTCCTGACCTATGGGCCTGTTTGAACCTTTGTTTGTCTCTGTGATTCCTTCCACAGTTTCGTGTGCCACAGCCCCCTCAGCCTCTCTGCAAGGTTTCACCAACAAACCAACCCACACAGCACTGGAGGAGAGACACACACATGCCTGACTCACACCGTCTGCCATGGGTAAAATGCGCACACACTTACAGACACACACAGGCAGCTCTTTCAAGTGGTTTTAAACTGGTGAAACAAACACAGATTGCATCCTTGCAGCTTTAGAAAAGTGAACAGAGTTTAGAACTACAGATGTAGACATTCATGCTTGCCATCAACAAGCCAGGAGATTTTGTGATTTTGACAAGAGTGCTAAGTGAAAGCTTTTTTCTTCTACCAGCTGTTTATACTGCTGCAACAAAGTTGGATTAAAAATTGATCAAAATTAAAAGAGACAATGTGTTTTTCATTCTGAACATTGTTCTTTCTTATCAAAACATGGCAACTACAATACCCACAATGCAACATAAAGGTAGGATTGTTGATTAGTTTTATTTGTTCACGTATGAACATCATATGAAAAGAAAAAAGGCTGAGTCATTGACCCTTGCAGGGCTGTAATAAACACGACCAATCATTTTATGTGGACTGAATGAAATGATTGGCTGGCGTACCTCTAACTGACCTGCCAGAAGTTAATGAGCGAAAGTCACGTCAAAAATCGGCGACTGCTCTACCCCTCAGCCCTTAACAAACTCAAGCCTAAATGACAAGTTGACATATGAACTGCTGGATCACCAAAATATCAAATTAGTTAACCTCTTTTAAATGCTGGTACAAGTCATTACAATGCACATATGCCTCATTCAAATCTGAGCCATTTGTTTATTATTAGTAACTTTGCACTTGACAGATAATGCTCCATTTACTCTTGTTGCTTCAAGCATTCAAGTGCTCTCTCACCCAAATTGGATCTTTAGTGCTTGTGCTGATCAGGGGCCATTACAAATTACAGCAGCTCAGCTTGTGTTTGAATGCATAGAAATTATTTTAATTTTAATTAAACTTAGATTTTAGTTAAACTTGCCGTCCAAGACAGACAATAGGTTTATTAAAAATCTATCAGTGAGTGGCGGCTCCTGCGGACTCCCAAAACTATGTATGCATCTTGGAGATTTGGCTGCATTACACTTTTTTAAAAAATGGGTAGAAAGTGCCTATTTACCCTTTGTCTGTCTTAGTTCATGTCCAACAGACATTGTCACAAAATTGTCATGAAGGTGAAGTTGTGAGAAGCATGTTTATCTTGTTAACACAACATGTGTGAGAGAGCTTGATGCTGACCGCATTAGTTTTTCGATAAGCTCCCAGTTCTTAGGGAGGGGACCATTGTACTGACATGAATGGGAGAGCGGACAGAGAGGGAGAGAGAAAGGAGTAATATATGCAGAAGTTGAATAAATTATGGAGAGCGTATGAGGAAGGGAGGGAGAGCGAGAGAAAACAGGCCGGCAGTCTGATTTATGCAGAGCTCTGTGCTTCAGCAGGACACGGTGTCAGAGAGAAGGACCATGAAACACTGTCTGGCCTGAAACACACAGGGTAGTGAGTATGAAGTTGAGCAAACGACTAGACGTCTGGGCTGAAAAACACATGCAGTCAGAAAAAAAATGGTTGAACACAAGAGAACCCACTTTTTGTGATGCTACAAAAGAACTGGATGTCTAGATTCTTGATTGCAGAGCAAGGAGAGAGAACTTGGAACTAGAACTAGCAAGGAAGAAAACAAAGAAAGGGCTTCTTTTACACATGAGTTTATATGACACAGTGCTTTTGTGATATTCAGTGAGTATTCCCTACCACTGCCTTGGTCCTGCCCCCCTTCAACTAGGCAAACACTGAAGCAGAAGCTAGTCCTAGCTAGAGCACACGCAGCTTTCCTGCAATTACAGATGCATCCCGAACAATTGTAGGAGGATAGGCTTTTACCTATGTTGGCAATTGGAGAGCAAACACTCCTCCAGGATCTTTCTTGTAGTACATGCACAACATTTTACCCAATCGGAAGCTAAAAAACTAATTGTTCCTAAAGACATTTAGGGCCAGATAACTGAAGAAGAGAACTTCAGAGTATGTGTGAAAGCTACTACTTAAATAAGCATCTTCAGGGTGCACAGTTGTTTTGTTACCCTGATGACAGCTGAAATCCACTGCAGTATGTATGCCCTGTGTGGCAGCGCTGTATGAATTCTACTTGTGGATGAGGACAGCAGGGAAAGCGGTGCGTTCCTTAAATTAGAGGCGAAAGTTATACGTCCCAGTGGGTGTTTGCTGTTGATCCACTTAACTGTAATTAAAGGGGAGAGCCACCAATTTCACATGTCAAAGTCAATTTACTACTCACAAAGATTATAAAAGGTGTAATTGAGCTGCAGTATGGGAATTGCTGGATTCATGGATTTTGGAGCTTCACCCACTCTAGGAACTATCTCAGAATATCTCTCTGTCTATGTTGCACTAATTTACTGTCCTATTTTCTGGAATACAATTTAAATTACTGGACTATCCCTGTAATATGTAGCAACGTTTCTATGCGTATGAACATCTAAAGGATGCTTATTATTATATATTGGATTCTGTGTTTTATCATCCAAGTTTTGTTCTTCCTGTTTAAGTTACATTTGCTTAAAAGTGAAGTGTATTTGTTGGATTACTTTTTGCCATGGAATAATTCACATATGATACTTCAGTGAGTGTTTGCAGCAGCAGCAGGACAGTGTCTGTGGGATAGACTGAAAATAAACCACAGTGTAGGTGTATAAAGATGAACTGATGAGTTAGAAAACCAAGAGTCACAGACGTGACTACATGGATACACAATCAGTCAGCTTCACAACAGTCCTGCATTGAAAGATATGTCAAAAGTGCAATCTCCTTATGGGATTAATGTCTGTCCATGTGCCATGGTGCCTGAAAAGATTGAATTCGGAGTCTTCAAGGTGACATAAAATATGTGAGTCAAACCTTGTGTGCGGTTACTTATGCCATGTGATGTTAACATTACAGGGATATATGCACCCACATGGCTCTATTGAAAATACAAAAATTCACTTGTGTCAAATTGGTTTTGTAATATTCTTATAAATATATAATTTCTTGTTTCAGAACCTGGAGTGTGTATTGAGATATATTGAAATGTCTAAAACTGGACATGCAGTTTGTATGCCCAGCTTTAGATGTATGCAGGATGTTAGAAACATTGTAAAATTCCAACTTATATTGTTTGAGTAAATCGTCTGCGACGTGAAGCCGATGCTCACCATGTGCCCAGACTTTGACATTTGGGGAAAAAATGTACTACGTGGCCACGAAATAATAGCGTGTGGGATATAGAGAATATGTTGTGCACCGTACACTGAGCCTGAGCCCACACTGTGGTGGAATGACTTAACAATAAAAACATAGGGCTCTATCCCTGCACGACACAGCACACCTTGCAAACTGCATTTAAATGTCCAGAGCGTGACTCTGTGCATTCGGGAAGCTGGTGACAGTTTGCGCCTGGTTCATCTAGAGACGGGGACAGATTGAGATGTAGTAGGTGTGTTAGCATTGAGTTTTATACCTTTATCCTTCCCTTTAAGTAGGTTTATCCTGTGAAATAAAGTATTCATTAGGAATTGGAGATAGTTTTATGTGCGGTGCGCACTCTCCTTAAGGGGAAGGATAATGGAAGTTTAATACAATGGCTAGTTAATCCCCGCCACTAACACACCGAGTACATACATCTCCAATCTCTCAATTTTTCCTTGTTTACAGATGCACCAGGAGCATCCTGTCACCAGTTTTCCAAATACTCACAGTCACACTCTCTGCTCACTGGACATTTAACTGTGATTGGCAGGATAGGGCCCTATGTTTGTATTGACTATAATTGCAAATGTTTCCACAAATGTTTCTGTAGTCGACCGGGAGCAATAATCTCTGCTCGAAGCTTAATATCGCTGTACGACTCAGAAATTGGGGCAAAAATGAGCTTAAATCGTACAGTGTACACCCAGCTTAAGAGGGGGTAATACACACTCCTACTTCACTTTGTGTATAATAGTGTGTATTACTATAGTGTGTTTCTAGCTGTGTGGTTCGGTGATGAGGTTTTAAAATTTTAGATGCACACACAGTATTTGTTGACCCAAAATAACAGAATATTAAATTATTGGCTGAAGATTTTAAAGACAACCAAACATTCACACACCAAATATAGTCTAAAAAATGGGTTTTGTATCTGTCTAATTCCAGAAATCTGTCATGAAGAACTCCATTAACTCTACTCTACTATCTTAAATAACTATTCATCTTATCAATACACACTTAGCATGTGTATTGTTAAGGGCTCATGGAAGTGCAGTGTAGAATTTTCTGTTCAAAATTACTAAACTGAATAAACTGGTGACTAGCACTTTTGCAGCAGTGGTTGGGACTCACTGTTGTTGACCACAACAACAGCAACGACAATCGATTCTCTAGTTTGGGGTTCTGCGTGCTGAGTTGAGCTTCAATTAACTTTTAAGCAGCGGTTACTGCTTCAGGGTTCTGTAGACAGAGTCCTGCTGCAGGTCTTTATTTCCTGTGCCTCAATTACTGCAGGTCACCTTCACAGTTTCAGAAATAAAGCTTCAACCAGCATTACCGTGGGCTAAACAAACAGCCTATTCCATAGTGGCAGGTTCAGAATGGGGTAATGGCCTCTTAGGTTGTGCCGTTTCTTGCTGTGGTGAGTTTTTTTGACTGATACGATGATGACCCACACAATTACAGAGCAACTAAAGGAGAGAGAAATCCTTTGTCCATGCCAGGTTTCTATAAAATGTTAAATGTCTGCTGAACAAAATGAAAATGACTGTTAAAGAGGTGCTCAGATTCTTTCTGTGCCTTTGTTTTTGCAGTGGGGAGAATAAAAGGAGATTAAGTGTTTTATCATTTCTTACATCTCCTATTGCACGTTTCTGTTTTCTGTTTCCTACATTTCTCTTGAAAGTGGTGAATGTATTAACTCAAATCACGGTTTACCACAGTGGCTGCTCATTACATTGAGAGCATATACATTATACAACACAAGTAATGCAACTCATAATGCAACACTGCATCAGGGTTTGAAACAGATCAGAAAAGAGTGAGAGAGAGAGAGAGAGAGAGAAAGAAAGAGTGAGCGAGATAAAAGAGAAACTGATGATGAGATCATAGGAGTGAGCGAGCAAAAGAGAGGTGGAGGAAGAAGGCTGGAGAGAAATGAAGAGCAAAGGAGTGTGGCTAGCCAAGCAGAAAAGGCTGTCATTCTCTATAAAAGATCTCCTCTGTCAGATTAGTATGAGAGGGCTTCTCCAACACTGCCTCTCTCTTCGCCCTCGGGTCTCTCACTTTTCTCTTGCATGATTCTCTCACTCCATTTCCCTCTTCATGTCTTCCTCTCATTTGTCTCTGCTTTCAGAATAATTCATTATCATATACAGGACTGCTCCTGGTTTTCTTTTTGCATGTCAGATTAGCACCAGTGTATTTTAACAGACAAAGAGACACCTCTGCATATTCTCACAAGCAAATGGGACTTGTACATATAAATTACTGTGTTGTTCTGCCACTGAATGACTGAGACTTTGTTCGCGAGGCTTTCTTTCAGCCCGGGAGTATCATTAGTGATAATTAGTCTGTGATAGGAGCTCAGGCTGAGAAAGGATGACTACATGATTCAACACAGAGATGTTTATGGATTCAACATTCCAAAGTAATGGTGATAAGCAGGTTTTCCATTTCCTCTATCTATTATCTGTGAAACTTATGTTTCATGTAGTAGTGGGTGACATTCCCAAACAATCATACCGCAATTGTATTATCACACACACTCACAATTCATGATTTGAATCACTCTTTTTCTGTGCAGGTTTTTAAAATGTTCACCTGCATCAACATCTAAAATCAAACATTATCCACAAGCACCTTCATAGTTAGATCGAATGTGACCACCTTAAGTTACATCCATGTTACTACATTTTATTTTGAAAATGCATCGACTCTGCTACGGATAAGAGTGCTATCCACACTACTCGAAACGTTTGGTAATGATCCTGGCCCCATTTTAATTTGAAAATTCTGAGGCTGCTTTTCATTCGACACAGGCATAAATAAAGACATTTGGAAACAATGACGTAGACACGCCACAGCTTACTTTTGGCTGATCAGTCAGGCTCCTATCACATGACCCCCTTCCAGAAGCAAACAACCGGTATTAGTCTCGGCTACCAGTGTAGAATGCTCTTGCTTTTCGCCATTGCTGCCTTTCTTTTGTGGCCTCGCTTTTTCTGCAACTAACAACCAAATGTTTCCTGTGTACTAAAATCTCTCCAATGGCTTCCAGTACAACACAGAATCAACTTAAAAATAATATAATGATAACAATATTTTGTTCAAGTTTAGAGCTTTCCAACCTTTTCATTACAAGATAACAACTTTTGTTCATCACCTCACACAAATACCTGGCCTTTACAGGATTAGATACTGGTCAAGAGTTTAAGTTGGTTTAAGTTCAGCGTTACTGAACAGAGGAACACAGATGACTCAAGCACACAGTCTCGTTGCAAACCCTTCAGCCCCCCACACAAAACGTGTCTAAAATCAAATAGTAGATCTCCCCTAGAAAAATTCCATCTGAATTCACGTGGATTTTATAATCTATAACAGGAACATATATATCGTTTCTTCAAATGAAATGTGCTAAATAAATTAAATTGCCATTGTGTACACTGGCACATGATTGCCCAGTGTTCGTGAGTGGTACCTGACACTGAAGTACGCTTAAGATGACCAACTACATTTTTTAACAAGAATTGTGCAGATACTCAAAAAATGTTTTCCAGGATGGACTATTGCTCTGTCCATGTCTTGCACAAACATACTTTGACTTAACTTATTTGGAAGAAAATGTAGGATCTCTGTGAGCCTTGGCATTTGAACTGACAGCCAGCAGATATATTTATCTACTCGTTCATATTTTATTGAGTTCAATTACTGTATGGATCAATGTTCTTACACCAAGTGTAAATGTGGTAGTTGTGGATCATGTGGATGTTTAAGGTTGTGCACAATTTTTTTTCCCATGAGCCTTTGGTCTCCCATCTTCGGTCAATTCACAACATGGTAACGGAATCTAAAAAATATGCATTGTATGCTTCTTTAATAGCATCTTTCTGTTTTTCCAGTCATACTCAGTTGGAGGTTTGGGTGATGAGGACTTCAACATCCCACCTATCACCCCCCCGACCCTGCCAGAGCACATGATGCCCCCCCACATCCCTCACAATTCCCCCTCTGGACCATACCACCCTCTGGAGCCACCCCCCAGCTCCGCTCCACACCACCTCTACCAGCTGCAGGGCATGGACCTGCCTGGCATGTCCGGTGGCCAAGATGGAGCTGCTATGTTGAACCAAGATGGTAGCACGTTCAGCCCAGACAGCGGCCCGATGACCAGCACACTATCTGTGGTAAGTAGTCAAAAAACTAATCATCTACATACTACATGAAAATGAATGCAAATGTATTTTTGGCAACATAACATGTTAAGTGGCAGGGACGTGTAAATGACGTTAGCAAATGTGACCTTTAGTCAGATGTTTACAGGCAGTGCAAATCATTCCGTTTTTTTCAGTATTATTCACTGATGAGACATTTTTACTCTGAAATGAAAGAGAGCTATGTACATTAACTGCCCATATTGTATATTTTATGAATTATAGAAATGCTCAACTTGGAATAATAATAATTTTCGCCAAGGAAGTTATGTTTTCATCTTCCCAAGGAATTGCCAATTAGTTAGAGTGGATCTGAGATTTTTTTTTTTCTTTAACATGGAAAGATTGGGCCCTCAGTTTGTATCTGATTTTTCCAGACATATTTTTTAAATCTTGAATTTACTCCTTTTCTTTCATTGAAAATCCCCTATACGTGCAAGTGTTTCATTTTAAAAGCTGAACTGCTCCCTCCTACTTCAGCTGTGATTGGCTTCCACAGTAGTTGTGATGTCACAATTCCTACTCGTACATACTTGTGTCATTTTATGTGAGCACAAAGAAATGTTCCACTTTCAGCAGAGGAATATGAAATTAGTCGTGTAGAGTCAAACAAATGTGTACATCAATCTACACAGTGACAGTTTATCAGTTTTATATTCAAGTATAAGTACAAGATTTTTTCAACCTTGTGATAGGAATGAATATATGTATAATTCATGGATCTTGATGATAGTAACTACTAACACTAATATTTACATGTGTGTGCAATTTGGTGAAATCCTAATAAATATCTGGATCTAGTGAATTTGAATGTGGCTTCATAAGTTGGGCTTCGGTGGAGGTATGTGAACTCAGGGCCATTCTAGTTTCATGTAATATACTTTCAGAACATTCACCACATGATTCATATCAATCCTGTGGATGGTGTCTAAATGAGTGTTCTCTGTGACTTTGGCTTGGGTGAATATCTCCATTTATGTTCCCTAAAGTTAAACATCAGAGGCCAGTGCAGTTTCAATTTGACAGTATCATAACAACATTGAATAAAATAAAATTTAAAAAAATGTGTTCTTACTGCCTGGGGAAGGTTCCTGCTGTGGAAACACTGTTTAAGATGTTTCTAGAAAGGCTTCGATATTTTTGTCATGGTAAAGGCCACTGAAATACCTGACACTGAAACTGACCAAATGCTTTTTTTAAATGCTTTAAAAATCTAGCTTAAATTGTGCTGATAGAAGATGGACTATTGCTATATGTCTTGCACAAATATATTTTGACTTAACATATTGGGATACAATTAAGATCTTGGTGAGCCTTGAGATTTGAAGTGACATCCAGCAGATATATTTTAACTATACTCTTATATTTTATTCAGTTTAACTATGTGAAATAGGATATTGCCCGGGGGAGTGTTATTTGAAAGCCAATCATGACAGCTGGTCGATGTGACATTTGCCTCAGATTTTAAGTTCTCATTTCACAGTAAAGTGAAAATCTTGCTTTTAGCTGTGACATTTAGATGTGTCTAACTGTGTCATACAGTTAAAAAAAAGACCTGAGACTTGCAATTACTTTAACTGTCACAGAAACTTGATTTTCAGCAGGTGTATATGTATGTGTCAGTTTGCAATAAAGACCAGTTTATTATCAATTAAACCGTTTCCCCTTCCCACAGTTTCATCTTTCAGTCTGTGTCTGTCGTCTCCGTCTTCACATTAAAGCTGCCTGTTATAATAAATGTCAGTATGAAACCTCAAGTTAGAATTACATTAGAATAACACCACAGACTGCTTTTTATAACTTTTAATCAAATTCAGATTTTCTTATTCATTTGATTGTGACTAGCCTGTCTGTTATGTGTGTAACATTGGAGATAATGATTTTAGTAATGTGGAGAGAAAGTCCTTTTTTCCATCTCTGTCTCTGCTCTCTCTCTCTCTCTCTCTCGCTTTTATATTCCCATACTAACATACATTTAGTGCCAGTCCATGAATTATGGTTGCCTAGCAACCATGCCTGGCTCAGTCTAAACAGGGTGGGTGGGGTATGTGCATGTGTGTATGTGCGTGTGTTCCTAGAGGAGGCAACTACTCAGTAGCAGTTATTGTTGACATGCAGGGTTGGACAGAGAACTGAAAAATTGCTCTCAAGTAAAATACTGTTGCTTAAAAAAAATGTTGCTCAAGGAGAATTTACTCAGATGAAAGGACAAAGTTTTTAGTTTTAAATAAGCTTCCCTTCTTTGAAGGTTAGAATTATCATATGCTGAAACTATGATAAATCATAAAACTGTCAAATGAAAGAATATTCTTGTCTACGAATATATACACTCCATTCCAGGTGTGAACTGTAGTGAAACCAGCCAATAAATTCAGGTCTGTGCATACAACTGACAATTGACAATTGATAATTGATCATTTCAAAGCAGGTATCATAGACATTGGAGCGATACTGTATATAGCCACTTAAATAGAATATCTGCCACTTATACAGAAATAAGAAGCAGAAAAGGCCAAGATGTATAAACAACATAAACTACACGGCGGCTGCAGCTGACCAACACAGACAAAGGGCTGCGTTGCCGGGCATAGCGGTGGTTAATGATACTCTCCTCTGTACAGTGACTTACACCAATCAGTCAGTTGTTACACACACCTGTCTGAGCTTCAGTCTGTGAGTCTTCTCCATTGCAAAGTCCTCCACAACTCCTCTGCTCGTTCTGACACCAGCTCGTTCTGAGCTCTGGTTTTGCATTAAAATTTAAGACTTTTTATTCTTATTTACTGAGGAAATTATTTATGTATTCAGCGTAAAATTACAGGGACAATGCTCATTAAAAAACATTTTGTTATTATGAGCATTCACTGGGTCAAATATATTGTGTGATTAAATAAGCTGTTTGTCTGGCACAAGGATCTATTGTAATAATTAGAATCCTTCATTTTCATTTTCCTTCACTCTTCCCTGGCTGATGCTGTTTATTCATTTGTTGAAACTCAACTTGATTATCCCTGGGGAAATCCTTGCAGATAGGTAATAAATAAGAAATAAGTAATAAATGAATTTTTTCTACGCCATAGAAGAGACACTGTAATTTATGTGTGTGTGGTGAGTGTGGGGGTAGGGTCATTATGTTGGGTTCAACATCACGATTACTGACTGCATCAGTGATGGATGGCCCAACCCTTATATCAACCCTAGTAAGGAAAAACAACAGTATTTTATAGCATGCCGAATGTTTTGGTAATTCAGAGGAAAGATTCATAGTTTTGTTTTCAATCATATGTCTTATGGCAACAATAATAGTGAATACAAGTTCTGATTTGCTAAAAGCGAGAATCAATTGTGATTTTGTTGCTCTACTTTTCATTTTGAAATATTGCATTAATGACACCTATGTTCCCCTCGTAATGATTAATCAACATTTTCCCCCCTCATGACATGAGTCAGTCATTACTCAACCTTCAGGGGTTCCCCTTCTCTTACTCTGTTCACTCATCAGCAGAAATTATTTTGTGAATGCCAGAAGGAAAATTAGGTTTTCCACTCTTCCCCTTGTTAAATTTCCAAATGTGTTCTTCGATAGTGTTTATGTTAGGTGGTCTACGTGTCGGGACCTCTTACCTGTTAACTGCCAGTGAAGTAACCACGAAAATACTAAAATGCAGTAGCTCCTTCCCTCTTTA